TGCCCAGGTACCTATACCTATATATCTATCTAACTATACTTATCTATACCTATCTATCCTATCTATACCTATCTATACCTATCTATCCTATCTATACCTGTCTATCCAAGGGCAGAAACGGATGGCGAGCGGTCAAGGAGGACAGCTGTTAGAGGCCAAAGCAGATGGTCGCAGGCCAAGGCAGTGGAGTGGAGAGTCAGTGCTGGGTAGGGAAACAGGCGAAGGCTCCACAGCAACAAGGGCAGCAGGAGGAGAAATGTTCAGCATGCATAAAGAGTGAAGGGCAAGGCTGCGGCGGCGAGGAAGGCAAGCAGGATGGAGGAGGGGGGGTGTCCTGAAGAGTTACGGCGGCGGCAACCTCAGCCAGCCGCCCGATCCGCCCGACCAAGCCCCTATAGAATCCCCACCTCTCTGGGGCGATGGAGGATAGTAATAGTCGTTTATGGGGTCCACAAGGCTCACCACTCGGCTGAAAGGTCCAAAACACGCCGGAGGATTGCAATAGGACGCTGCTATCAGCAGCGCGGTGCTGCCATCTTCCTATCCACGCCACGAGTATAAATCCGGCCGCCGAGGGTTTCATCGCTCAAGGACTTCAGCTGTCCGATCCTCCCTCCTCTCTCCTCTCTCTCCCTAAACTCCAAAACTGAGAAAACGCCAAAAGTTGTAAATCAATGCTGCTGTCCGGCCGGAGGCTGTAGTAGAACGCTGCCGTCAGCAGCGCGCCGCCGCCGTCTTCCTCTCCACGCCGCAGGGTGTAAATCCAGGCCGCCAAGAGTTTCCCCCATTCACAAACTTCAGGAGACTTCCAGGTGCCTGGTCCTCTCTCCTCTCTTGCTCCCCAGACTCCAGTCCTCCTCGGGTGACCTTTGGTAATAATTTAACAGGTTTCGAACAGGCTCTCTGAGGTCTTTTTTCATCCGGCTTTCTACAGAGCGAGAAAGCCAGGCAGCCATTCAGGTCTCGCACAGTATGTTTATCCTGCAATTTTAGCCACACTGGCTACCTATAATATAATCTGTGAGTGCCGGTTCAGGGTTTCTAGAGCAGGTCCTAGAATTTACCTGTAGCTGGCTGTCCAAGATGAACATGCCATGCATTTTATGAACTCTGTGCTCATTTCAGCATCACAGCAAACATAAAAACAAAAACAGGGTCTTTTAATATTTCTTTGTTTTGAAATGTGGCAAAATGTACCTTGTTTTGAAAAAAATATATAATAAGCCAATCTTTTTTCTCCCTCAGAGGTGGCTGGATCCAAACAAGCCAATTAGGAAACAGTTGAAAAGTGAGCAAAATATTTTATCTACTTTGAATAAAAAAATCAGTAAATTTATGTAAAACCTTAAGTAAGCTAAAATATCAAATTCTAATCAGATGTTTTGGTTCATTTTAGGAGGATCACCCCACAATTTGAACTTCAGAGTCAAATTTTTTGTAAGCGATCCTAATAAGCTTCAAGAAGAATATACACGGTATCTGTTTTAATCAGTTACCTCTTTGTTTTATTATGTAAAACATAATGCTGCTGGTGTTAAATTTGCATATGTTTGATTTTATAGAAGACATTACGTAAGATAGTAGAACTTCAGCTTCAGAGAGTCCTAGAAGAATCCAGTTTTCTGGATCTTTCGCAGTCATTCTTGAATGGGCAGTTCTATTTTGTGAGCATGGGGCAAGTAGGGCTGCATCCCTGGTTGTTCCAATTTGGTTCAATGTGAAGTCCATAAATCTATTCCCCATGCTATTTAGTAACTACATGAAACTCTTGGGTATAATTTGTGTGTCAGTTCAGAGGGACTTATTATCAGTGTAATGATGAAAATGAATTGTATGTATTCATCTCAAGTTAAACCTGGGTGCTATCAAAGTTCTGACTCAGCATCTGGAGACTGTCGGTGCCTGTTCGTCAGATCTGGCTTGATTTCAGTTCCACTGTTTACTTTAGAAAGGGTTGGGGTTTCTTTGAATTCAGGCTTCTGCTGGTACAGCAGGTTGAACTATGGACACAAGGACCTTTCCAAGGTTTCATGGATAGGCCAGTTGCAAGTCTTGGAGACAAGGAGGCATTTTCAACAGTCAGTCAACATTCTTCATTCTCAGTTGGACTAAAGCAATCCATTCCATGTGGGCCCTGTCTTACATGATTACTCAGAAGCTACAGGTGGTCCAAAATATATCTGCTGAGTAGAAATAGGACATCTATCAATATGCCACTAAGGCACATTGACACTAAGGCATTAGACAAAGTGCTAGCTTTTACCTTTAAAATCTACATGGCTTGGTTCCTGAATACTTATAGATCCTTTTTTGGCAAAAATCAGGCCACTCCATTCATGCTGAGTGGGGAGTATATTGAAGTATACTGTACTGAGTGTTCCCACTGACATAAAGAGAGGACTGTGGGAGCCCAATCACATTCTGAATCTCCTTAAGTACAAGGAGGTATAAAGTACATAATTCCTTGTGTAAATATATTAGTATATAGTAAATATTCTGAACATCTTATATCCACTTGTATTCAAATTATTCATAAACATATATTCAAATTATATGAAGTCTTCAATGTATTTCAATGGTAACTTTTTTAAAAATTTCAATTGCATGTTTAATGTAGATATATAATGTAGATAGATATCTATATGAACATTTTTAAGAAAAGTTTTTGAAAGCATTTATTACTGCAATTTGTTTTTGCTAAAGTACTTTTAATCTTAGTTAAGCACAGGAATTATTTACAATGTATATTGTAAGAAAAAAAATCAGACAACTGAATTTAATTTCATTGTGGATTCGCATACCTGTAGTGCTGCATTCAATCTGTTCTTATTGTCCCTTAATACATGAAAGCCTCCCAGGACAGCACCATTTTTCTGACAAACAAGTAGGATAAAATACTCTTTCAAGTGCAATGTTCTTTTAATAGTAATTTTATTAAGGATCATAAATATAAACAGTAAATACAAACTCAATAAATAAAAGAATAAAAAGAAAAACTAGAAAATGCAGGAAAGAAAGAGGAAAAAAGAAAAATAAGGGGAAAGTAGAAATTAAAAAGAAAGAATATAATAAAGAAAAATTATAAAGCTATGACTTCACAACTTCATTAAAACAAGTATGAATAATTTTAAAAATTTATCATTTTCTCTTAAAATATATCAAATGATCTCTTTTTCTTATATCTCATCTCTTGTCTGTAAACAAATACATAAAGCTCATCATTTCAGTTCTGATATCAGCAAAAGTCCACTAAGGCCTACCAGAGATATCTACTTTAACCTTGATCAGGTTGATGTTCCCTCCTTTTACTTCTAAAAAAATTGATATTCAGTTAAAATAAGGAACCTAGAACCTGATTTTTTTCAATTTTTTTTTCTCTCTCCCCTAAAATTCTTCAAAACTTTAACGACTTTTTTGTAAATCCATTATAGGAAAGTTATCCAGGTCCATACATCACCCAGTTTCTTTTATATTACCAATGTAACATCTTTTATCATGTCATTCTTAATGCCTGTGATTTTTAAATCCACGTATAAATCAGTCTCAATCTTGTCAGGTAGAACTTGTTCCTCTTCCATAATATATTTTAAACACAATCTGTCTTTAGAGACAGACACTATTAAAATTAACTTTTGGATCCATTACTCAAAAATATACTTCAATATGTCCAAAGTTAATTTTGTTATTCATTCTGTAATTGTAAATTGAATATGAGTATATGTCTCCTTTAATTGAAATCTTAAGTTCCCTCTCGTGGTGTAATGGCAAACCTATGGTACACGTGCCACAGGTGGCACGCAGAGCCATTTGTTAGGGCACGCAAGGCATTGCCCTGTCAGCTCCAGCGCACATGCATGTGTTAGCCAACTGACTTCAGCCTTCTTTTAAGGCTGTTTTTTGCCCTCTGGAGGCTTCCCTGAAGCCACCGGAAGGCGAAAAATGGTTCAGTGCGCAAACTGGAAGTTTGGGAGTGGACCAATGCGCAAACGGGTCCAGTGGACTTCTGGTTTGCACATTGGGCCATTTTTCATCCTCTGGAGCCTTCAGGAGGCTTCCCTGAAGGCTCTGGAGGGCAAAAACGGGGTTCAAATGGGGTAAAACTCACTTAACAAATTTCTCAGCAACATAAATTTTCGGCTCAATTGTGGTTGTAAATTGAGGTCTTCCTGTATATCATTTTAAAAGTGCATTTAATAGATTGGAATAGATCTGTAAGATTACCATGTACAATAGGACTTTCCCAAAAAGAATGGAAAGGCTTGTCTTTTGATGACAGTCTCTATACCCATGATGGCGAACCTATGACACATGTGCCACAGGTGGCACACGGAGGCCTCACTGCCGGCATGCGAACTGTCACCCCAGCTGAGCTCCACTGCACACGTGCCTTCCACTGGCCAGCTGATTTTCGGGTCTTTGCAGCATGTGTTGTTTAATCAAAATGCATTTAAACACTATACATATAAGGGATCAAGAATATAACTATATACTTCCAATAGGAACAGGAAGTGCCTCACAGAAACAGATAGAGATAAATCTTGAGAGGCAGGAAATGCATCACTGAACAATGGAGATGAATGCTAGAGAGGAATAAAGCTGCATGCAAGGCAGACATAATACCTGTAACAGTGTGCGCATGCACGGGAAGGTGGGGGGTAGTGCAGGGGTGTGGTTCCAGGAGGCTTCAGGGAGCTCTGCTAAGCCCAAAATGAGGCATGGGGGATGTCGCGCATGGGGTGAAGGGGCGCATGGGGGGTGTCACACGTACATTATTATGTTATGGGTGTGGGCACGCGAGTACAAAAAGGTTAGCCATCACTGCTCTATACCAAGGTAACATGAGCAATACTTTAAATTCAAAAGGAGAAACCCTAAGAGCGAAACAAGTATCTTTAAAGTTGGAAACTTTACCCCAAAGAAGCGTATATAAAAAGGAAACATCTGCCTAAAATATGAAGTGATTTAAAAAACAAAATTCCATTACATAATATAAGTCAAAACATTTTTATGAAGCCTCGCTCTCAGTTCATGAATGGAAGCAAGGCATTATCTGAGATGCAGAGAATATTAAAGCGCCAGATTTAATGCATATGCATCCCAATAGCAGTGTATCTGAAATCTGATTTGATTATTTTTAAAATGTGTATTAGGAAATTAAACAAGTAGTTGTAAATATTGATGATAGACCAGTATCATATTTCTCTGACATTGATTAAAAATTATCCAGTTTCAGACATGGAAGAAATAGGAAATGGAGCTAACAATGTGAGATTGCATAATAATTTCATTAGTTACAGATCTTCACCTCAATCTTTTACATTAGTTGATTTATTAATTTTAGTGTAATAATAAAAAGAAATTGGCTTTAATTTTGTTTTGTATTATTAGGTAGGCAAAATAAAAGCATTTAATAAAATGCAGATGCCAAAGTCAAAAGACATCTTAATTTTGTTAGATAAGAATATAATAGTAAGTTTGTCAACCTGTTGTTCTTGTTTACTTTTTCTTTAAGGTACCAGTATTTTTTGCAAATTAAGCAAGATATTCTTACTGGAAGGTAAGATTTGTTTATTTTACAAACTTGAGTGTCTTGTGATTCAGGGCAGGGATGGGCAGCATTCATTAAACAGCATGACATAATGCTATAATCAAGTGATTGCATGCATTCTGTGAAAATTATAAAATGTGTACTAGAATATTGTAAATACAAATGTAATGATGGGGCATCACATTTTATAATGAATTCAGAATTATATTAAATTGAGTTTAAATGCTAAAATTTTCTTACCTGTCTGCTAATATTCCTGTACTTCCAATTCCCAAAAGGATGTACAATTTTTATTCCTTCCAGGTACACAATATGTTCTATAAAAAGTGACCATGTTTATTTTGAATGACATGCTTGGATTCTGAGATATTGCTCATTTACATTTGCCTCTCCCTGTGTTCCCAACTACAAAATACAAACTCAGATTTCACATGTTAGTAGACTTGGAGATCTTGACAGTTTTTATCAGGCTAGGATATAAAAAACCATGGTTCTTAATTTATAAATTTTCTTGGTGTCAGGCTATCGGGTTTTGATATTAATAAGCAAATTTCCTTTGTTTATGGTTGTAATAAGAGAAACATAACCAATGTTAGGCTGTATTCAGCTTGAACATAAGAAATCAATATTATCCAGAATCCAGGCTTAGCATTTTGATATGTCTATACAGATAGTCCTCTGTTAATGACTGCCTTGTTTAGTGACCATTTAAATTGATAATGTGCCAAAAAACTTTATAACTGGTCCTCAACTTTATGTCACAGTGTCCCCATATGATTACCATTCAGGCACTTTGCAACCAATGCACATTTACAACCATCACAATTTCCCACTGTTACTTGATTGCTATTTGTGAGATTTACAACTGGCTTCCGACAAACAAAGTCAATGAAGAAACCAGTAAAATCACATGATGACTCACTTAATGACCACAGGTGATTCACCTAACAACCACGGTGGGACCGATTTTATAAATTCTATGTGTTCATGTGATGTTTCACTGAATGGTTGCACGGCTTAATGATAGTGCTGACAGTCCCAACTGTGGTTATTAAGTGGGGAATACCTGCACATATCAGTTTATTCATATACAGAATGAATAAATAAATAAATGTATACTTTTAATCATTTAAATATCGATTGATAGACATATTTTTTATTTTTAAAAATAGGAAAGTATATCATGATTCAGCTCATGAAAGACATGCATTCCGTACAAAGGTTTTGTAAGGAAATATCCACATCAGGGACGTGAACTCACTAGAGGCAAGGGAGGCGGGACCTCACCAGTCTCCTCAGGAAAAGGAAGGAATTTTAAAGATTTTTTCTAAAATAATTAAGGCCAAGCTAGTTGCTACCAGACTTCAA